ATAAGTCGGACATTTATTTATATTATAAAGTACTTTAAACAATTGATTGCTGCGTCCGACTTATCGAGTTTAGATGTATATTTAATGATAAATCCCGATTTAGTAATTTTACATTTTAATATTGATATTAATTTTATGAAACAAGAAATAATTTTAATGATTACTCCGAATGAGCAAAATCAAGAAGAAGAAGTCGTTGAAGAATTTCCACTTGTTTCAAATAAAGAAGCTTTATTAGCGATAGAAAAATTAAACAAATACATTGACCAACAATCTGAAAAGTTGCAACTAAGCAATATGAAATTAATCCATTAAAAAGTCTTAAAAGAAAAATTAAAAAAATAGAATTTGATTCAAATCAACAATCAACATTAGATACCTTTTTTAACTAATTTGTTATTTTTGCAAAGCAGTTATATATTATTTATTTCAAAACGGTTATATTTTTATATATTAAATTTTTTTTAAAATAAAATTTATCACGTGACTTTTACAAATTTTCCTATAATGAACTCTGGTCTATAATAATAACGAACTTTTTTAGCCCAGTCCAAAAGTTCGTTATATACAAAGTGTATTGTAATGATCTCGTTAAAACACCAGCCAGATCTTCAAGCTTTTTACATAATTATTTTAAAAAAAAAATGCCCAAAAAGGAAGATATTCTGAGTATTTTGTTTTTCTTGCATACCAGTTCGAATATGATTGTCCGAGGTCCTAGTTGTTAGCTTTATTTTTTCTTAAGCAATATATAGAACTACTACTATATAAAAATAATTAATATGAAACTAATTTACATCAGATACAAGTATTGGAAGTATTTTGAAGAAAGAAAGAACAAAGGGAAAAGATTGCATCTTATGTTTTCAAAATATATGATGCTCAGATGCTTGAAAACTATCTAAGGAAAGAAAAAATCAACCACGAAATTTACCAAGAGGAAAGAAAAATCATAACTAATAAAAGAACATTAACAAAGCCATGAAGAACCTGAAAATTGGAAGAATAACTTATTGCCTAACTTAGTTTTTTAACTAAAATGACAAGTGGCAAAATCAACAATCTCAACCAGCACCATCTATTCTTTTAATCATAGAATTCATGACACTTACTCATAGACTTTATTTTTCTTCTTGTATTCTTTTTTTTTTTAAAGCTCATTCCTTTTAAAGTAGATTACTGAATAAATCTGTGCTATCATGATTAAGGATGTTAGCCGAAATTGTTTTTTGAAAAAATCAATTTCGGCAAGCAATTTCAGATTCACAATATTTTTCAATAAATAAAGATAATCCATAAGTTGTTTATGTTAATTAACCAATCAGATTACATTTACCCCAAATTAGGAAATAAAAAGGTTTATATTTGTTCCGCAATAATAAAAATTTGTTGTACGCATATGATAAATCGTTAATTCATCATAAATTTATCAGCTACTAACTTCTTGCACAAATATAAGAAGATAAGACATTCTGGGACGTAATCACTCAAGAACTCTCAATGTTAAAAAAAAATAAGTTTAACAATTGTTAAGATGTACAGTTTTATCAAAGTTTGACCTTTATCAAATGTTTACTGTATGTTTAACCTAAGTTAAATTTGATCACAAACTGATGTTGGTTACCCTTAAAATTGCTGTATTCAAGTCAATGAGATGACACTTTAAAAAGACTAGCCCTTGTATCATAGGTTACAGTTGACTCAATGAACCAATATCTAGAATTTAAATAATCTTCCCTTTTTACCAGATGGCATATAGAAGAAGATTTAACATCTTCCTCCTTCTTCTGAAAACCCTTTGGCATTTATTGGTACTGCATGTTGGATGTATAACCAATACTTGGATGCAATTAATAGTGATATAAAAAATAAAAATAAAAATAAAAATAAAAATAAAAATAAAAATTATTTATGAAAAAATTATATCATTGTTAGAGATGCAACATTGAATGGCTTATTGAATAATTAACATCACTGCAAAAAGAAAATTTTCAAGTTGAAACTTAGATCTAAAAAAAGATAAAAGCTGTGAATATATGTTGCAAGTAAAATGTATATATATTTATGGTCCTATTTTTCTAGTATGTTTTAAACTTAACTTGGAGCCTGTATCTCTATTCTTCAAAAAATTATAACCAGTGGTGGCATTAACAACTCATTTATTTAAATCACTATACTAGTATTGTTTCATTTAGCAATAATTCCAATTGGTATCATGATTATAGATGTTAGCCGAAATTGCCTCTCTTAATAAATGATCATCGCCGGATCCGAAATGCCAAAATAGTTTCTGAAATTAACTTTATTAGTTGCCAAAATTATATCCAAAATTATTTGGACTCATTAACATAATAGCCGAAATGCTAGGTTGTCTTTTTATGGTCTTTAATATGAAAAATATTGTGAATCTGAAATTGCTTGCCGAAATTGATTTTTTCAAAAACAATTTCGGCTAACATCCTTAATCATGATAGCACAGATTTATTCAGTAATCTACTTTAAAAGGAATGAGCTTTAAAAAAAAAAAGAATACAAGAAGAAAAATAAAGTCTATGAGTAAGTGTCATGAATTCTATGATTAAAAGAATAGATGGTGCTGGTTGAGATTGTTGATTTTGCCACTTGTCATTTTAGTTAAAAAACTAAGTTAGGCAATAAGTTATTCTTCCAATTTTCAGGTTCTTCATGGCTTTGTTAATGTTCTTTTATTAGTTATGATTTTTCTTTCCTCTTGGTAAATTTCGTGGTTGATTTTTTCTTTCCTTAGATAGTTTTCAAGCATCTGAGCATCATATATTTTGAAAACATAAGATGCAATCTTTTCCCTTTGTTCTTTCTTTCTTCAAAATACTTCCAATACTTGTATCTGATGTAAATTAGTTTCATATTAATTATTTTTATATAGTAGTAGTTCTATATATTGCTTAAGAAAAAATAAAGCTAACAACTAGGACCTCGGACAATCATATTCGAACTGGTATGCAAGAAAAACAAAATACTCAGAATATCTTCCTTTTTGGGCATTTTTTTTTGAATTCTATGATTAAAAGAATAGATGGTGCTGGTTGAGATTGTTGATTTTGCCACTTGTCATTTTAGTTAAAAAACTAAGTTAGGCAATAAGTTATTCTTCCAATTTTCAGGTTCTTCATGGCTTTGTTAATGTTCTTTTATTAGTTATGATTTTTCTTTCCTCTTGGTAAATTTCGTGGTTGATTTTTTCTTTCCTTAGATAGTTTTCAAGCATCTGAGCATCATATATTTTGAAAACATAAGATGCAATCTTTTCCCTTTGTTCTTTCTTTCTTCAAAATACTTCCAATACTTGTATCTGATGTAAATTAGTTTCATATTAATTATTTTTATATAGTAGTAGTTCTATATATTGCTTAAGAAAAAATAAAGCTAACAACTAGGACCTCGGACAATCATATTCGAACTGGTATGCAAGAAAAACAAAATACTCAGAATATCTTCCTTTTTGGGCATTTTTTTTTTAAAATAATTATGTAAAAAGCTTGAAGATCTGGCTGGTGTTTTAACGAGATCATTACAATACACTTTGTATATAACGAACTTTTGGACTGGGCTAAAAAAGTTCGTTATTATTATAGACCAGAGTTCATTATAGGAAAATTTGTAAAAGTCACGTGATAAATTTTATTTTAAAAAAAATTTAATATATAAAAATATAACCGTTTTGAAATAAATAATATATAACTGCTTTGCAAAAATAACAAATTAGTTAAAAAAGGTATCTAATGTTGATTGTTGATTTGAATCAAATTCTATTTTTTTAATTTTTCTTTTAAGACTTTTTAATGGATTAATTTCATATTGCTTAGTTGCAACTTTTCAGATTGTTGGTCAATGTATTTGTTTAATTTTTCTATCGCTAATAAAGCTTCTTTATTTGAAACAAGTGGAAATTCTTCAACGACTTCTTCTTCTTGATTTTGCTCATTCGGAGTAATCATTAAAATTATTTCTTGTTTCATAAAATTAATATCAATATTAAAATGTAAAATTACTAAATCGGGATTTATCATTAAATATACATCTAAACTCGATAAGTCGGACGCAGCAATCAATTGTTTAAAGTACTTTATAATATAAATAAATGTCCGACTTATCGAGTTTAGATGTGGTAATAGCAATATTAATTACTAAATCGGAATTTATATAAAATCAATATCAATATTAAAATGTAAAATTACCAAATCGAAATTTATTATTCAACGTAAAAATTATATACTAAATTAAGAAAAAAAATAGAAAATAACCAATGCCATGTGATAATATATGATCATCAGTATACAGTCAAACCTCGCCACAGCGGATTCATGGTTCCAACCAAAAAAATCCGTTATGACGAGAAATCCGCTGTGGAAAAATTGGTGATGATCGGCAAAAAATTTTTTAATAATAATAAATAAATAATACAATTAATAACATAATAAATAATACATGCGGAAATTAAAAATTATTTGTTGAAATAAGATGTAATATTTGGTTGTAATAGTTTTTCATTATTTAATAATCTCACTTTTCTTTTCAATGATTTAAATGCTTTAA